CCGGGCGCCGAGGGGCGGCCGGCCCCCGAGGCGAGGGTGCACTTCCGAGTGACGAGGTTCATCATGGAGGCAGGTAACTGCGGTCGGGGAGAGTCGGGCCCTGCGCGGACGGGACTGGGTGGACGGGGCCGCCAAGCTGCCCTTTCCCCGAGCCCGCCCTGGGAGGGCCGAGCCGGCGGGCCGGGGCCGGCGTGGAAGGGACCCGCTTCCCGGAGGAGGGGACCCGCCGGACGCGGCGCGGGCGCGGCTGGGCGGAGGGAAGACGCCGGCTGGCCCAAGCGGAGGCCTGGAGGGAGGCCCGGCTTGGGGTCCGGGCCTCGGCCTCGCCGCCGCGCCCTGCGTCCTGGGCTGTGAGCTACGGGCCGACGCGGTCGTTACCATGGGCCGGGCGGGTGCGCAGGCCCCGAGAGAAGGCTGTAAAAGGACCGGCCCCAGCTGCAAGGCGGCCGGCTCCGGGAGCCCGGCGCCTTCCACCACATCTGTCTCCCAGACTGCGGGGACACTGTGTGGCGCTCGGGCTCACGGAACCTTTCAGTGCCCGCTGTTGGTGCGGCTCGTGACCAGTCTTGCTGAAGACCGAGGACTCGGGGTACGGCTCGCGTTTTGAACCCCCGGCTATCGTGTCCACAGTGGTGTCGGGCGCTCCCCTCCTCGGGCGAGGCGATGACGCCAAGCGGATTCCTGTAGAAACACTTTTTCTCTGTCAATAGTATCTTGCTCGGCAGGCAGCCGGTTATTTCCGATCTTTGTTACTTTGTTGCTCTGAGGCAGAGGGATTGGGTGAGTCTGCTTTCAAGTCAAGGTGGGCAGAGTCTGGGGAAATGGTGCAGCACCATTAATTCCAGCGATTTGTACATTTAATTTTCGACAAGAGTTGTAAAGTGTATAAGGAAGGATTGCAGAGTCCTCTCATATGCTGCCACCCATCTGCTTGGAGTGTCCATGTAAACCAGAGAAGCATGCTGTCCTTTGAGGGTTTGCTACGTAAAACAAGACTTGGAGGATCACGTGCAGCTATACCACCTTATCTTACATCTCTGAACGTGAGGGCCCCCGTGTAGGAACTGTCTATGTAACTGAAGTTTAAACCTTGAAACGCTAAAAGCTCTTTAGCTTTCACTTTCGAAAGACTTCTTTACACAAGGTGTTGCAGGGCCGGCCCCGTGGCCTAGCGGTTAAGTTCAGCACGCTCCGCTTTGGCAGCCCGGGTTCGCCGGTTTGGTTCCAGAGGCGGACCTACGCCGCTTGTTGGCGGCCATGCTGTGGCAGTGACCCACATGCAAAAAAGAGGAAGATTGGCACAGATGTTAGCTCAGGGTGAATCTTCCTCAAGCAAAAAGAGGAAGGTTGGCAACAGATGTTAGCTCAGGGTGAACATTCCTCAGCTAAAAACCCCACAAAAAACCCCAAAACATATTACATATACCCTCGCTCTCTATCTGAAGCTAATACTGGTCCTCCAAAGATGTCCCCATCATAATCCCTGGGACCTGTGACTGTTACCTCATATAGCATAGGAGATTTTGCATAAGGGATTAAGCAACTTGACATGGGGGAACTATCCTTGTGGGCCCAATATAATTACACCATCCTTAAGAGAGAGGCAGGAAGAGTGACAGGCAGAGGAGAAGGCTGTGTGATGACAGAAGCAGAGTTAGAACATGCTGCGCTGCTGGCTTTAAGATGAAGGGAGGAGCTATGAGCCAAAGACTGCAGGCACCCCTAGAAGCGGGAAAAGGCAAGGGAACAGATTCTCCCTTGGAGCCTCCAGAAGAACCAGCCCTGCCAACACCTTGAGCTTAGCCCCCTAAGACTCATTTTGGACTTTTTTTTTCTTTTTTTGGTGAGAAAGACTAGCCCTGAGATAACATCCGTTGCCAGTCTTCGTCTCTTTGCTCAGGAAGATGAACCCTGAGCTAACATCTGTGCCAGTCTTCCTCTATTTGGTACGTGGGTTGCTGCCACAGGATGGCTTGATGAGTGGTGCATAGGTCTGCACCCAGGATCCGAACCTGCGAATCCCGGGCTGCTGAAGTGGAGCTTGCAGACTTAACCTTAACCACTACGCCACCGGGCTGGCCCCTCATTTTGGACTTGTGACCACCAGGATTATAAGTGAAAAAAAATGTTGTTTTAAGCCACTGAGTTTGTGGCAATTTGTTCCTGAAGCCCTAGGGAAGTAATATACCTTCTTAAGTCAAGGATGTTGAATGTAATCTTAATGATTGATCGGTGGTTGTTCTCCGCCGTCTTCTTTCAGCCTATTGGATGTCATTTAACTTCTCTTGCTAACCTGGTCATTGTGAATTTGTTTTGGTTCTGTGACCCAATGCAATGATTTCCTTAGGAGCTGTTTGGGGTTGGGATGGGTGATGGGCTTCAACCCCTAAATCAGGCCACCGTGCTCTGGTTTTCTGAGTTCTAGTACTTTTTCAGTGTGTTGGGCTTTCTCCCTGGTGCCTGGCTGTGGCCATAGATATTGCTTTTCTCCTGCTCTGCCCAGGGTTGCCTTTGGAGGTCACCCTGCTTGCTTTTCTTGCCTTTTCCCATCTGCAGACTAGGAAACTATTGCTGAGTATAATCTTTAACTGTAACATCGGGACTTGGGGCATCTGTTTGATGCTCGGAGGCCTTTGTTCCCTCCTGTTCACTTGGTAGGATTTTGGTAGGTGAGCTGCGGGGCCAGGGGCAACCTCTAGTTAAATGCTTGCTAAGGTGGAAACAGACATACAGCAGTGTGTGGTCCTTTCCAAGATGTTGTGCACAAGCTGATAGGCCAGGTGCTAACTGAGTAGTAGTCTGAGCTTTGCTTCTCCTAGTGTGGTCTGCACATCCGTAGCTTGAGCATGACCTGGGGGCTTGGTAGAACTGCAGGATCTGCAGAACTACTGAAGGGGGCGCTGCACTTGAGCACCACCCCCAGGGGCTTGTTAGCCCCTACAGTCTGAGAAGCCTGCCTCCAAACCCCTCAGTAGGGGACTTGGTGAAAGACCCAGCAGCCACTGCCAACTAGGCTCCAAACTCTTGGTCCTGTCTGAGCAGGGATGTGCACCCTTAGGGCCCGACCCAGTGGCTCCCCTCACCCTTTTGCAGGGGCTGAGCACTGGATTGAAGTACTCTCCTGCCTGCTCCCTCTCGGTAGGTGTCAAGCTGGGGATGCAGTCCATTCCCATCGCCACTGCTTGTACCATTTACCATAAGTTCTTCTGCGAGATCAACCTGGACGCCTATGACCCCTACTTGGTTGCCATGTCTTCCCTTTACTTGGCTGGCAAAGTGGAGGAGCAGCACCTGCGTACTCGTGACATCATCAACGTGTCCAACAGGTAACGGCTTCTGGGAATCTACCCGAATGGGAGGGCAGAGAAGGGTCCCGCTGTGCCTGCCCTCCAGACTGGCAGCAGGCAAGCTCAGAAGGAAGCACTAGCAGCAAAGGCGAGAATGAGCCTGGTGTCAGAAGCCCAGGGGGTCGGTGGGAGAGAAGCTTGGGCCAGATGGAGTGTGGAGGGGGGTGGGTAAGAGAGAGTCTCTGGCATCATTGGCAGGGGTGGCATAGCTGCAGCAGAGGGGGCTTGGACAGGTGTATCAAAGATTCCTTTGGAATCTTGGACAAGATGTATTGAATCAGTCGGGTTTGTGGGCCCCACAGGTCGGCCTGCCATGCAGGGGAGGGCATGGACCCAGCTGGGCAATCATTTTATTTAAATGGTGTGAGGAACCGAATCAGAGTTGGTGAGGAGTGTCTCTTGCCCTGGTGTGGGCACAGTTCTCCGTGTGCGACACCCCTAGGCCTGAGCAGCCACATTCCTGTTGGGGAAGGACATGGGGGTTCAGCCAGCTGGGCAGGCTGTGCTGAGGCCTGGGGCCCCAGGAGAAAGTGATTTATGGAAAGTTACTGACTCAAGGTGTGTCGTAGACTTTCTAGGAGCTCTAATCATTGGGAAAGAAAACTATTTTGTGCTGCTTCTCTTTTAATAAACAGGTAACAGAAAAAGCACTCGCCACCCCCTAAGCATATCAGGGTCACGGTGTACCGTGAAAGACTAAGAGAAAAACAGGAGAGAGACCTAAGGGAGGGCGGCTGGAGTTCTCCGTAACTGCCAGGGCTCCAACAGGCAAGGCGGAAGAAGGGGAGATTGTGTGAATTGCTAATGAGACGTGGGCACCTGGCTGGGGTTCTGGGGGAAATTGGAAAACGAGTGAGGAGCTAGGAAAGCTGAGTCATTGCAGGGAATTTTGATCACTTGAGTATAAATCTTGTTCTCGTACATCTTAGTGATCTTGTGTAGGTGGGAGGGTTGTGGACATATACAGTGTAAATAAGGACAGAAGGATCTGGAACGAAGGAAAGACAATCTGGGAAACATAAAACTGAAATACTTTGCGCTTTTGAATACATCATCCCCATGATATGTTTAAATTTTTTTTCTTTATTTTTTCCCCCAAAGCCCCAGTAGATAGTTGTATGTCATAGCTGCACATCCTTCTAGTTGCTGTATGTGGGACGCAGCCTCAGCATGGCCGGAGAAGCGGTGCGTCGGTGCGCGCCCGGGATCCGAACCCCGGGCCGCCAGCAGCGGAGCGCGCACACTTAACTGCTAAGCCACAAGGCCAGTCCCCCATGATATGTTTAAATACCTTCCTTGAGCCCAGAGTGAGAGCCCTGGGCGTTGCCACCCTGGGTGCTGAAGACTGTCCTTTTTTTTTTTTTTTGTGAGGAAGACCAGCCCTGAGCTAACATCCATGCCAATCCTCCTCTTTTTGCTGAGGAAGAGTGGCCCTGAGCTAACATCTGTGCCCACCTTCCTCTACTTTATATGGGACGCCGCCTCAGCATGGCTTGACAAGCGGTGTGTTGGTGCATGCCCAGGATCCAAACCTGCGAACCCAGGGCCGCCCCAGTGGAGTGCGCGCACTTAACCGCTTGCGCCTCTGGGCCAGCTCCTGAAGACTGTCCTTGATGCCAGGCTGCATGTAATAGGAAGCACAACCAACTCAGTGTGCTAGAGCTTCTGGTTCCTCTGGAGTCATTGCAAAGAGCCCATCTTTACACTTGCCATCTTGCTGAGTAATACGGGACAGCCTATCAGGGCTGGAACTAGAAACTGGCTTCTTTCTTCTGTTGGTTATTGCTTTTATCCTGTATGCTAGACATGTAGATGAAGAGTGATTTATACAGCCATAGGGAGAAGAGCCCCATGTTACGCTATGGCAGAGGGACACTGGGGTTTGTCTGTGGGTGTCATGTGACTTACGGGCTCCTCCACAGGGCACCTCCCTGGCCGCTGTAAGCATGGCCATTTCTCCGCAGGTACTTCCACCCAGGCAGTGAGCCCTTGGAGCTGGACTCTCGTTTCTGGGCGCTTCGGGACAGCATCGTACAGTGTGAGCTCCTCGTGCTGCGAGTTCTTCGTTTCCAAGTCTCCTTCCAGCACCCACATAAGGTACATGCTGGGCAATTGGCAACTGTGTCTTCAGGCATGAGCCTCTGTTCTTTATCCTGAAAGTGCACCCCTCTAACCATCGGGAGCACGTGGGGCTCCTGACTGCACCCTGTGCTGGGCTCAGGCGCCCTCTCCTGTCCTGCTCTGGGGTTCCCTCTGGCAGTTCTAATGTCAGCGTCTGTCTTTCCGTCCGGCGGGCTGTGGCCACAAGCTGGGGTCCGGGCGACCCTCTGAAGCAGATCCCGTGACTGGTATACATTGTGTGCTCGGTGAGCCACAGGGAAACAGGGCTGGTTTCGTGACCTGCCAGAGTCCCTGTCACCAAGAGTTGCTGCTCTACCTCGGAGCTCGCATGCAGCTCAACTGTGCTTAGAAACCCTGTGAAAGCCATCACTCGAGTCCGGTAGCACACTTGAACTGTGGGGACACAAGGTCCGGCAGAAGAACTGTTTTCAGCAGCAGCCAAGGGACATGTGAAACCCTTAGAGCACTTGGATGTCATCCTTTGGGGGCCGCGGGCCCATGTGCAGGCAGCCTGGAAGGGTGGCCTGCAGAGAGCAGGGTGTGTGTTTGTGTGTGTGTGTGTGACATCGGGCTCTGTGCCAGGATTTTGTTTCTTTTTAGTTGAATTTTTTATTGAGGTAATTGTAGATTTACAAGCAGTCGGAGGAAATAACACAGAGATCCCATTTGCGATGGAGACTTTGCCCAGTCTCCCTAAAAGGAAACGCTTTGCAAAACTCGAATACAATGTAACCGGCAGGGTGTGGGCATGGATGCGGTTTCCCTGGTCTGGGTGGTTACTTGGTTGTGTGCTGTACCCCGGCAGTGCTATGCAGTTGTATCACGTGTGTATCCTTATGTATCCACCACCACAGTGAAGATACAGAATGACTCCGTCGCCGCAGCTGTGCTTCATGTTGCCCGTTTTACAGTCTCACTCCCCTTCTTCTAACGCCTCCCTAATCCCGGAACCCCCTGGTGGAGAGTTGTGTTTTCGGTCAGCAGGATGATTGACAAAACACCCAAGGGGAAAGGCAGAGGTCACCCTGGCTCTGCTGGGGGCAGTCACAGCACCAAGTCTGGGGAGGAACAGCTCCCAGCTGGCCTCGGGGACTGTCAGGTTGGAGAGCGGGGCTCGGCGTGGCTGTGAGCCTGACGGCCTTCCCTGTGTACTAGGTTAGGATGGTCTGGAAAGCAGCCAAGAGCCACCACCTCTGTGGCGGGCTAGAGTCCCCTGCACGTGTGGTTGGGTCTGTTGAGTGGGCTCAGCAGTGTGTTCAGTAGAGCGTGAGGTTCAGGCCAAGCAGCTGTCTCCGCAGAGCGGGAGCTGGCAGGCTGCTGAGCGGGAAGGTCCTTCCGAGTGTACAGCCGAGGACGGCACTACTGGGAAACACGGTCACCAGTCTCTAGTCCTGAAAGCAGGCGTCCTGTCAGGCCGGGCACACGGGCTCAGTGTTCTGTTCTGCAAATAAGGCTGCTGTTTCTGGTGCTTTTGTTTGAGTCAGGCAAGGGGATGAGCAGAATGATTTCCGACGACGGCTAGAGCAGGGCCATGTGATGGAGAGGGATTGAGGTGGGGGTGGCCATCAGGAGTGACCCAGGCGGGTTTTAGGAGCTGGGCCTGGAGGATGAGAGTGGGCAGGCACATGGGGACCAGGGCGGGGATGGGATGATTTCAGGTGGAGGGAGCAGCGAGTGCCAAGGCCCTGAGGTGGAGCTTGCCTGGCGCCGTCAAACAGCGAGAGGGTGAGGCGAGGGCGAGGCAGCGCCTGGAGGCCAGTGGAAGGCACTGGGGCTTTTTTCTAAGTGATGCAGGGAGCCATTGGAGGGTTTGAACAGGGAAGTGACTCGATCTGATCTGTGTTTTATACACCTCGAGACAGCTTAGGGGAGAGTGGCTGGTGGGCGGAGGGGCCACAGTGCCTCACAGTGAGGAGGCAGGCGACTAGGGGGCCTGAGCCCCGAAGGCCAACTGGCTGACTGGCATGTCTTTGCAGTACCTGCTCCACTACCTGATTTCCCTCAAGAACTGGCTGAATCGTTACAGCTGGCAGCGGACCCCCATCTCCGTCACTGCCTGGGCCCTGCTGCGGGACAGCTACCACGGGGGGCTGTGCCTCCGGTTCCGGGCTCAGCACATAGCCGTGGCAGTGCTCCACCTGGCCCTGCAGGCCTATGGGGTCGAGGTGCCCGCCGAGGCTGAGGCCGAGAAGCCATGGTGGCAGGTGAGGTGACTGCTCAGTGCACTGGCGTGTGTCCCCCTTTCCTTTGCCTAAGCACTTTCGGAAGTCCCTGTACCTGGTGTTCATGTTTCTTTGTAGTAATTATCTGTGAAGAAAGATGTGGGCTACTTGGGGATGCTGAAGCTTGAAAATGCCCTGTCATAATAGTCTAAGGCAGCAGTTCTCCCCCTCGGCACTGGGGCCATGTGGGGCTGGCTCATTCTCTGTGGTGGGGCCGTCCTGGGCACTATAGGATATTGAGCAGTGTCCCCACCAGTCATGACAACCAAAAATGCCTCCAGACATTGCCAAGTGTCCTGGAGTGGGGTTGCTCAGTTAAGAACCACTGAGCTCAGCCAAGCACTTTCATTGAATTGAGTGGGAGCTCATCATACATCAAAGGTTAATAAACCTGGCTTCATGTCAGGAGTACAGTCATGCACTACATCACAATGTGTCGGTCAATGACGGACCGCATAGACGATGGTGGTTCCATAAGATGAGTACCATAGAGCCTAGGTGTGTAGTAGGCTGTACCACCTAGGTTTGTATAAGTACACTCTATGATGTTCCCACAATGATGAAATCGGCCAATGACACCTCAGAACATGTCCCCGTCGTTAAACGATGCAGGACTATATAGGGGATGCTCTCAAAAGATGGATGGATGATAGGTAGATAGACAATAGCTGTAGATAGATGATGGATGGGTGGATGGATGGATAGATGGATAGATAGAGAGAGATGAGACTGATGATTGATAGATTCCCTGGCCTACCCCAGACCTACTGAATCCAAAGTGTAGTTTGTAGAGAGTGAGTTGAAATCTGTCCGTCAGAAGGGCTGTGCTCAAGGACTTCTGCAGTCCTGTCTGATCTTCCCTGAGTAGGCCCACAGTTTCTCAAAATGGAATTTTGAGATCATTTTATGTTTTTTCCTTTCCCATACTTAAAGTTTGCTGTTCCTTTCTCATGACACCTCCGTTGTCTGGCCTTGTCCTAGAATGAGGTTCTATGTAAGCCGAGTTTGAGATAACTGAAGGTTTCTCCTTTTGGTGCCCTAGCCCTCTCCTGCAAACCCACAGTGGCCAGAAATCTTCTAAAATGTGTCATCTGTTTCCTGAACTGTGGGTGCCCCCTGGGTGCCTTCCTGGGCCCACGCCTGCCTTCTCCTCCCCTCCTACAGCTCTTGCTCCAAATGGTGCCTCACCCTTTCCTGACGCTCCCTCCCCCTGGCCTGCTTGCCCTCCCTGGGAGACCACAGCTTTTCCTGCTCTTTGCTTTGTTGTCCTTGATTGTCTGTCTGATCCCCCCTCACAGCAAACTGAGTGCCCAGAGATCGGGGATCTTGTCTGCTTTATCACCTGCCCCAGCCCAGTGCCTAGACCAGACACACAGTCGGGGCTCACGTGTCTTGGAACAAACGCATCCGCAGCCCCGGTCTCTGGCCAGATGCACCCCCAGCAGCAGCGTGGGGGTAAAAGTGCGTCTGTGTGGACAGAAAGGATTGCTCCATGCTGGGGTTTCTCGGGGATTCTGGATCACGTGACTGTGGTGTCCCTGCTCTGTTGGAGTCAGGTGGTGGCAGAAGGGGCTGCCACTTCCTGGCCCTGCACTCAGGGCATCTGGTGGGCACGGCAGCCCCTGTTCCTCAGCTGCTTGCATCTGTGATGTCGTGACTTGTTTCCCATTGTCCGTTCCGACTTTCCTCCGTGTGTCTTCCTTTCTGCTCTCCTTTCTCTTCACTGGCTCCTGATCTTCACTGGGTGTCACTGCTCCGCCTCTGCTTCCTGCTCTTGGCCTCACAAGAGCAGAGCGCCGGGAAGCAGCTCTGCCATGGGCCTGTTTTCTGGGCAACACAGACTTACCCGGTAATTGCTAAAACTGGGAAGAAGTGGCCCCTTTTGGGGTGGCACACTCATATTCACTCAGCTCTTCACCTTTTCTGGAAGGCTACGGGCTGCATGCACTGGGAGCATCCAGAATCTGGGCGCCCTTTGGGCTCGGGAGGTGCGCTGGCCAGTTGCCTTGTGGTGAGCGGCTCCCGATGGCGTCCCCTCACACCCAGCCCTGGGACGCTTATGTCTGATTTGTGAAACCTTTTTCCTCCTTGCATGCTCTCGGCCACCACTTCTTACAGAAACTGCCTCTCTGTTGTCACTTGTCTGCTGTGGGCTGGGGCTTTGCCATGCTGGTCAGCAGACTTGGCAGAGCTTGTCATGCTTCCCTGCCAGAAGCCTGTCTGCACTCGAGTGCACTAGTGGCAGGGCTGGCCTTGGCCAAGGTGGGTCAGGCCCTGGGTGGATGAGGCGCCGACTCGAAAGCAGTAGCATGTGTCAGAATTTCCGTCCTTTCTAAGACTGAATACTATTCCATGGTATGGATGAACCACATGGTGTTTGTCCATTTCTCCATAAATGGACACCTGGGTTGCTTCCACCTTTTGGCCCTGGACTACCCTTTATTTTTGATGGTCATTTATCGGCTTGAGGTCTCCAGGAGCACACAGGTAGTGGACCCTAATGAGCAAACCCTTATTTCTGAAGTATTTGTTTTCCACCCAGAGTCCAGGGTGAGACAGCCAATCTTCCTGAGCCAGGGCTCAGGGGGTTTCCAGGTCACTGTCTCACACCTGAGGTGGTAGCCAGTGGAGGGTCCTAGCTTTCTTTGGGGGATGTGGCCATGGAGGGGATGGACTCAAGTCCACTTTTTGCCCTGGCTTGGCCCAAGGCCTTGACCTTTGTGACACCTTGGTTCCCCAGGGGAGCCACAGCATCCAACCAAGAGCTCCCTTGTTTTGCTTTTTACTTCCCATGTGGTCACAGGTCCCCAAGAGCACCCTCAGGCTCGATGCTTCACTAGGAGGACTCCCAGAACTCAGAAAAGCTGTTATCCTTGTGGTTCTGGTGGTTCTGGTTAATTACAGTGACAGGATACAGGTTGAAATCAGCAAAGATAAAAGGAGCGTCCGTAGGGCGGGTCCGGGAGAGACAAGGCAGGAGCTTCCAGGTCCCCTGCCAGTGGAGTCGTGCGGCAGCACAATTTCTCCCAGCAGCAATGTGTGACAGCACACATGGAGTACTGCCACCAGGGGAGCTCCCCTGGAGCCGCGGTGTCCAGGGTCTTTACTGGGGGTGGGTCCTGCGGGCCTGGAGTGCCCGCATGCCTGACCTTAGTTACTCAGTCTCAGCCCCCCGGAGCTCAGGCTGATGTGTGCGGCCCAAGGCCCCACTACAAATCACGCTGTCAGCATGCCTGGCAGGGCCCTCGTCCCCAGGCAAACCAAGACCTTCTTATCAGGCAGGACGTGCCAGGGGCGTAGAGGTCCCCTCCCAGGAGCCCAGGGGTCAAAGCCAGGCCTTCCTTGAGAATGTGCAGGGTTAGCCCTGTGCCCCTTGGGACTTGCCTTACAATTTTAAAGCTCTCTGATATGGTCAAGAGATCTAGTCCAGGCTGTAGAGCAGGTCCAGGTGTTCCCAAGGGGCCAGCCTATGCTAGGGTGGGGTCCAGGTGATCTAGCCTGCCTATTTCTGGAAATGGACCCCCACTCTCTCCTCTCCCAAGATCCCCAGAGATCCTGGACCTGAGAGAGTCCTTGGGGAGGCAGGAGCCTGTGCTCTAGGCCCAGCTCTGTCACCAGTTCCCTGTGTAACCTAGGACAAGTCCTCTTGTATCTGGATTGGATGATCACCAAGCCCTCTTCCATCTGGAAGGTTCCCTGCTTTGTGATCAGCCTTGGAAGGCTGGAACTGAACGGGCTTTGCAGGGAGCCACCATCGTTTCCGATAGCCTGGTGCCCGTGCTCCCCCTACAATGTGGTTCTGTGCTTAGTGGGAGGGTCCTTGCTTAATGCAGAGGGAGTCTAATCAGAGCCTGTTTTCCTTCTCCTTTCTAGGTGTTTAGTGACGACCTTACCAAGCCAATCATTGATAACATTGTGTCTGATCTCATTCAGATTTATAGCATGGACACAGAGATCCCCTAAGGCCCTGGTCCAGGCCTGCCCAAAGAGAAGCCCGGACGCCTGGCTGCCTGGGGACGGCGCCACCACATCACCGTGACGCCCAGTCCCCAGAAGACCAGCTGGGAGGACGGGTTTTGTGCTGCTGGAGACGGGCTGGTGAAGGCGATGACATGCTGCCGCTTTGATTCTCATGCTTTGACTGTCCCTGGCAGCAGTGGTCCAGACGGTGCCGGGGGCTGCGACTCCAGCGGGCAGGCCAGGAGTGCGCCATGGGGGGTGGCCCCCAGGCATCCACGTCCGCTTTTGTCCTTTGAGAGGATACCGACTACAGTTGAGGTGTGATGTCGTTGGAAGAAAAATCAAAGAACAGATGGACTGCACTCCTGGGGAGTTTTTAAAAGCCAGATTTATAGAAAGTATGAATGTGCAACATAGACAGAATTTTATTTTGTGTAATAAAAGATGATACCAATCAACGGAGACACCCGGTTTTTTCTCTGTGGCCTTTGCTGCCCTGGGGTGTTTATAAGTGCCGCCCAGACTCCATCTCCCCTGAAATGCTCTCCAGGAGCATCAGCCCTTGCGCTCTTGAGGTGCTCCTGAAGGTGTGCTGGCACAGTGTGTACCCACGTCATGGCAGTATCCCCTAAAGGAGCCCATGTGTCCTCACTCCTCCTCTGCTGGGACATTTGCAGGGCTTGGCAATTGTCCTGCTTGATGAGTGAGCATAAACTTTGGAAAGAGGAGTTAGGGAGTATCATTTGGGTTCAAAAAACCCAGATCTGACCAACATATAACTAGGAAGTAATAGACGGGATTGTTTTAATGTCAAGACAGTGAGTCTAGATGGGGCGTCTAGAGAATCTTAGAGCCATGGTACCCCACTGCCTCCCACTCAAAAGGCACTTCTTCAGGAGCGACTGCTCTTGGGTGTGTTAGAGAAACAGACCAGCTGGGTTGTTCTCCCTGGGAACCCCCATTGGGCTTGATGCATGCTGGTGGGACTGTTCTTCAACACACGATGGTGTGGGAGCTGGAGGGCTGTCCAGGTGCATCCCCGCATTTGGGAGGTTGTTCCCAGGGGATCGTGGGCTCAGGACACTGCTGCCATGCCCTCCAGCACCCACAGGTGTGGAGGCTGGCTGGAATGCCTGGGGGTCAACCAGGGTGCTTCGGAGTGCTCATCCCTGGTTGGGGGCAGAGGGAGGCGTCACACACTGGTGACAAGTCAGTCACCAGTGTGTGAATTGCTTGAGTTTATGAAGTGATTGTGTTATTTGTCTTCAGGGTGAGGGATCTGAGTAAATGTTCCCTTTTCCACTGTGTCCTTTCCACATCTGTCCACGCAGCTCAACTGGGAGCCCTTTGAGGACAGGGTTGGCACCCAGGCTCAGGGCCGGCGCTGGGGCTCTGAGCATGAAGGGTGGAGGGTGAGGGGCCCAGCTGGCAGGCCTCTGAGGGCAGCTTCAGCTCTCTTGCTGGGCCTTTCTGCCTTCTGTTTAAAAAGCACCTTGCTGCTGTCGTGCCCTTCCTCCCCGCAGGCCGGGCCCAGGTGCCCCTGCTGGCCCCCGGCCTTGCCTGCCCTGCATTGACTGGGCACTGCCTTTGGCCAGCACTTATTGTGGATTTGAATGGAACTAAGAGACGGTTGTTTTGCTTTTGGATTCTCTGTCTTCTCTGCCCCAACAAGATTATAGCTCTTATAGAAGCTTCCATTTCTTTGGATCCCCTCAGGTTCAGCCTCCAGTGAGGCAGCTGGCCTCACACACTTGATGTGAGGTGGTTTTCTCAGCTCTCAGAAAGCAGAACCCCTGCTCTGGATGGGAGGGCTGGGTAGAGCGTGTGGTAGAACTCTCCAGAGAGCTCTCTCCCACGCGCCTGTTCCCTCCCCCACCCCAGGACTTAGCTGAAAGAAGCAGGGATAGTTGGACAAAGCTCCCTAGGGATTCTGTGAGCATCCCATCCTCAGCTAGAGCCACTGTGCAGAACCAGGGCAGTCTCTCGGGAGAGCTTGTGGGTCAACATTTCCTTTCATGATGACCGAATATTAGGCAAGTTCCTTTCTCTCTGTGGGTCTCAGTTTCCCACTTTGTAAACTGAGCAGGTTAGAACAAATAATCTCGGACTGTGATTATTGATTGTGTGCCTGTCACCCTGCCCTGAGGGCTCACTGGGCCTGTCATCTGAGCACTTGCCACTCAGGGCTCACTGTGTGTCTTCCTAATGTGGCCCAGGCTGAAGCTCCATCTTCGGTGTGTGTTGTCATTGGAACAGAGATGAAGAAAATGTATTGGGACATACGTGACACTGTTGGGGCATATGTGACACGGTCAGCCCTGCTTTGTAAGGACACTTCAGCCATGGAATATAAATTAGTCAGTGGTACTAATGGTTTTGTTTGTTTCTCTGTTTTGGCTTCCTGTTACTGAGGCTCTTGTAGAAAATAATGGAGATTAAAGATATATAACCTTCTATCTCCTTTATTTCATGTTCAAAGAGGTCAGCAATGAAAGATTGAGATAAGGTTTTCTAGAACCTGAAGCTTCCAGGAGCATTTTAGTTCAGAGCACATCTTAATTACTGTAAAGTGATAAATGGCTGAGCCTTGCTTGGCCTGTCAACCAGTGGAAGGAGGAGGGCAAACCAGATCCTACGAGGGACTAGGCCCATCTCTTCCTTTCCAGCTGTGATGGAGTGAATGGTGTCCCCCAAAAGATGTGTCCATGTCCTCACCCCTGGAACCTTATTTGGAAGTAGAGTCTTTGCAGATGTCAAGGTAAGATGAGATCCTACAGGAGTAGGGTGGGCCCTAATCCAATATGACTGGTATCCTTTCAAGAAGAGGGGAAGAGACACAGAGACAGACGCAGAGGGAGAATGCCATGTGAAGACACAGATGCACAGAGAAAAGCCATGTGTTGAAGGAGGCAGAGACTGGAGTGATGCGTCTACACGCCAGGGAACATCAGGGACTACTGGTGACACCAGAGGCTGGGACAGACAAGAAAGGATCCTCCCCTCGAGCCTTCAGAGGGACCATGACCCTGCCAACACCTTGATTTTAGACTTCTGGCCTCCGGAACTGGGAGAGAAGAAATGTGTGTTGTTTTAAGACTGCCTGCATGCACCCTTGCTCCAGGGTTCTGCTGGGTGGTGAAGATGGCAGCCAGCTCTGTGGAGGGATGGCTGTTGTAGTCCTTCTTGGCTCCAAGCCATTTAGCTAAGTATCAGTTTTTTCCCATGGGAACCTGTGTCATATTTGATAGTGGAAGTCAGTGGAAAAGAGAATCCACAGACACAAATTAATGAGTCTTTTGGGGGAGCACAATATCTCTTTATAAGGTTCCAGCTATCTTGATATAGCGTTTGGCCTGATCTAGACTTACTTAGCCTTATGGCTCAAGATGGATTTGCACATCAACGAATAAGGGCTCTGCTATTTGTTTGTCAGCTGCTTTCTGCTACTTCTCTTTTTGCCTTTTTCAGTAGTACAGGCTCTAGTAGTTAGGAGGGAACTTAGAAGCCATTTTTCTCCTTTCTTGGCAGCTTCCCTGGAAAATGTGTCCTCTGGCACTGCCAAGTCTAAAAGGGTAATGTGTGGAGTGGAGAAATAGAAATATGAGGAAACGAGATGTGGAGTCTTTGTGCCATTTCCACAGTAGTTATTTGCAAGTCTCGGGCCAGAGCTGCCTTCATGCCTCTGCTGGCAGAGCAGAGGCGGCGGGCCACAGAGCACAGATGTCCCCATGCACAGGTGTTCAAAGACACCTGATGAGTGAAGGAATGAATTGGAGAATGATCCATGGAAGAAGTGAATGAGTGAAATAATGGATTTTCTTTCCATGACTTTGGGTTAAAGAGGAAGTTCATGACTGGAACCCTTGTGCACTGCTGGTGGGAATGTAAGATGGTGCAGCCACTGTGGGAAACAGTTTGCCAGGTCCTCAAAAAATTAAACATAGGATTACCATATGATCCAGCGATTCCACTTCTGGGTATATACCTAAAAGAAATGAAAGGGGCTCAAAGAGATATTTGTACACCCATGTTCACAGCAGCATGATTCACAGTAGCTGGAAGCAACCCAAGTGCCCATCGACAGATGAGCAGATAAACAAAATGTGGTCCATTCATACACTGGAATGTTATTCCGCCTTAAAAAGGAAGGACATTCTGACACGTGCTACAACATGGATGAACCTTGAGGACATTATGCTAAGTGAGCTAAGCCAGTCACAAAAGGACAGATGCTGTAATGATTCCACCAGTATGAGGTCCTAGAGGAGTCAACTTCACCGAGACAGAAAGTAGGATGGTGGGTGCCAGGGGCTGGGGGAGGAGCAGGGGGGGTTAGTGTTTCATGGGGTCAGAGTTTCCGTTTGGGAAGATGAAAAGTTCTGGGGGTGGATGGTGGGGATGGCTGCACAACAGTGTGAACGTACTTGATGCCCTGAACTGTAATCTTAAAAGTGGTTAAAATGGTAAATTTTATGTTGTGCATATTTTGCCACAGTTAAAAAGAGAGGGAGTCTGTGTGTGTGTCACGGTTCTGGCGTTTGCTGACATTGAATTGTCATAATCGATCGTCTTGGGTCCACCGCACCTACCCTCCTCTGAGGACACCAGCCGGGACATTCACCCCAGGCCCTTCCAGGTCAAGATAGTTAGAGGACCATCGTGCAAACCTCCGCTAGGAGCGCCTCTGACCCCTCAGGGCAGGCGAGACTTTTCCTCCTTCCATAAGGTTTAGAAAGGCGGCCACACACCCAGGGGAACTCTGCCACTGTTGGTTCAGTGAAGCGGATGAAGACACCTCTCTTTTGTTCCAGACGAAAATTCACCAAATAATAAATCACACACCACTACCCAGACCAGGATTGTAGGAGCCTTTCATTTTTTTTATACACAGAAATTTTGGTCTATTCTTTAGATTAGGAAATTCAACTACAGACTTGAAATTATTATGCATCTGTGGTCTTCCTCATTAAGATATTTTTTGTTCATCTTTATAATAGGCAGATAAAAATGTAGAACATATTTAATAACTGAACACAGTTGACCAAGCCATTCCATGTAAGATGATGCTTTATAGAGAGGGGCTTCCTGAGGAGACAGGTCCCTTGGCCTGAAGACTGCGGGGAAACCAGAACTGCACGCCCTGCAGAAAGGCAACCTAGGGACTAACAACCGACACGTACAGGAGGCCACTTTGTACAGCAGCAGTGAGGGGGTTTAATATATATTGACCATTTGTTCTATCGATGTGTCTACAACAGAGAATGAGAAGAAGCCCGTGAGTGGAGCATTATGCAGCTTATCTTCTTCAATTTAAACATTTCCAATTTTATTTCTTGTTTAAGAACACAGAGACCCTCAACAAATTAAGTTGCCCTTTTTTGTTGTTGATTAAACAAGGACATTAGGGAACAATTTACAAATGGGTGACATTCTCAATGTGCCCTTTGGAAAAAAGGGATGGC